GTTAGGTTTTTCTGCTTAAGTAAATTAAGAAAATATTAGAAACTGCAATAAAAGCAACAGGATTCAGATCTGCTCCTGGGTCCAGCAGCCAGACATTAGTCCTGGTTAGGGTGTCTCAAAGGGCACTGAAGCAAGACCACAAATATTTTAGGGGACCATCATGACAATGATGGTGACACGGGGTCACAGAGCTCAGCAAGGAGTCAGGCTGCCCTGAAGAAAAGCCACAGAAGCAGAGCAGCTGTGGCTGACCTCTAAAAGGAGAGAACAGTAGGCTCAGATCAGCATTGCTACATCACCCAGGCAAGGAGTTTTCAATTGTGGTCACTGGCGCTTGTGCAAGAGCGTGCAGTGAGAAAATGAGTCTTTGTTTTAAACACACCAACCACTTATTCCCTTTCAACCTCAGAACACAGTTTTTATTTCTTTTTTTTTTCTTTTTCTTTTTTTTTTCCTTGGTGGCTCCCTGTTATACTACTGCATGGATTAGCTTCTGTTTGAATAAAATATAATAATTTTTTTAACTATACACCACAAATGCATACATGCATAGAAAGAGGAGTATGGCTTATGGGCGAGCCTTAGTGGCCTCCAGCCTTTCAGGATGGCTTTTCTGACCAGAGTGCAACAAAGTGGGATAGGCAAAAGAATTAACAATGCCCAGCATATGGACAAATCCTGATTCTAGCCTGAACTAGATACAGATTTTTGCCTCCAAAATATAAGACTATATTGCTGTGTTTTGGTTCTCTCTTTTAATGTGACTAAATAAAACTACATGGGTATAACAGAGATGGGATTTAAAGGGGTACAATTTGAATGGGCTCTGAACAACCTCAAAACAGAGCTCATTTCATTTCACCTCTGTCATAGCAGGGACACCTTCCATTGTCCCAGGCTGCTCCAAGTCCCATCCAGCCTGGTCTTGGACACTTCCAGGGATCCAGGGGCAGCCACAGCTGCTCTGGGCACCCTGTGCCAGGGGCTCACCACCTTCCCAGGGAAGATTTTCTTCCTAATATTCCATCTAAACTTACTCTACTTCAGTTTAAATAACATGTAATAACAACACAGAGACTTTAGAATTCTTTCCTACTCAATAGGTGTCATTTTGGTCTCCCTCTAGTTGCTTCTGCCAAAATCTTCAAGTATAAAATCCATAGAAATGACATGCAATAGGCTAGCAGTTACATATATATATATCCTCAACCATTAATTTCTGTGCACTAAATTGCATACTTTGGCAGAATCTTTAAGTGTGCACAATTTAGAAATTGCAGTATAACATGATCTGGCCACGTGAAATGGCAACATTTGGGACACTGATCAGACAAAATCAGCAAATGGTTTGAAATAGGTAGTTACACATTTAAATATAATACAGAACATCGACCATATAAAATTAGTTCTAGTAAGTTAACAAAAGAATTCTTTATCCTCTTTATATGCACACAAAAATGTTCATCCACTACCATTTCCATAAAATAAACTATATTAAAACTAAATCTATCCTTGAGTGGCAGTGGGATCTTGAAAAGATTTTAATGATTTTGCTGAGTCAGAAGACACTCCTTAAAAGTAAAAGCAACATATGGATAAAAGCATTGAAAACAAAAATTCTCAGTGAAGATTTTATTTCAGTATTTGAGATCAAGCATGCAGAGCTCAAGAAAGCTTTATTCTGGAATAATAAGTTGTATTTATTATAAATGTATAAAGAAGATATGCGTACATTTTAAGGTATTTATATAATGTGAGCTGCTGAATGTACATATTATAATGACATAGATATACTCAGTTATATAGGTGTACACACAAAAGGGCAAAAAAGCACATTACTGCATCAAGACATGTTTTTCAGAATAGGGAAAGCTTTTTGTTCAGACTCCAATATTTCTGGTGGAAATACTGTGCAAGGCAGGAATGTTTTCCATTAACCTAAATTCTGCTAGCCCCCCCAGAAAGCACACTGCTGAGAAATTACTTCATCCTGCACCCTTCAAACCCATCACCTTCATATCTGGGACCTGGGTATTGGAAGCAGCTAATGTTGAAATACCAGCCTAATTACCTTGTAAAGTTATTTGTTTGTTCTGGAAAACTAATCCACGGATTCATGTTAATTCACAGACAGCAAGTCTGAGATCCACATGACAAGCTTGAGCCAGAGCACATTAAAGTCAAAGAAAGTTCATTGACGTCAAAGGATTTCGGATCTGAAGCTAAAATAAGGTATTACAGCTCGGCAGTGAATAACACTTTTGTTAGGCCTTCACTCTTCTTGGTGTATGAGGGGAGGGATTGTCTTTTCATCTTTTCCTTCTTCTTACTCTCAATTTTGCTTCTTTTTCCTTCCTTATTCTTTCCTTTCTTCCTGCTTCTCTCTTTTTCTCAGCAGACTGGGATGAGCACATTGTCTTCACTGAAATTGAGTGGAGTTGTGTTATGGACATCACAGAAGTAGAAAGGGCTCAAATATGGCCAGCTACTGAGCATCCCTATGGAATAACCCAAATTCCAAGTTGTGCTACCTTTAAACAAACGCCCTCAGCTGCCTGGAATTTCTCACAGGCTGCAAAGCAGAAGAGCTCAGACACTAAGGGCTGGATTTCTCTGCAGCCACACGTCTGCGTACAATATTTGTATATTTAAAGCAAATCCATAGGCCTCTTGAAATCCTCACCAATTCCAAGGAAAACATTGGAGTTTATGCAATCCTGACATTATACTCCATTACACAGCGCAAACAGGGGCCAAAAATACCTGGAAAAGTGCAAATATGAGCTGTGAGATCCAGCGGGCACCTTACAGACTTTGCTCAGGTGTTTGTAGTGTACCTCTAAAGAGTTCTAGATCGAGAAAGGATTCTCAACACAGATGTGGCACAGCTCAGCCCTTTCCTGATACCATCCTGCAAAAAATTGCTGAATGTAGAAGAGTATTATTTTGTCTTTTTGTATTCATCTTACAATTGGTAAAATTACCCTTGGCCTTCACAGGAGTCTTTGACCATGAGAGTAAATACATTATCTTTTCTGTCCTCATCCAGTGGCTCAGCTGTCTGACAATCCTGACATTGAATAACTTAAACTGTGATCCAAAACTCACCCATTTATGGGTTTTTAGTAACTGCCTCTATGAAGAAACAAATATTGTCCTAATCTTCTCTTGCATTAAGATCCAGCTCTGATTTTCATGTGATCTCTAACATAAGAGAGTTTTTTTGAACTGTGTTTGTCCACATGTGAATATAAATATTAATTTCTGCTCCTATAATTGCATTTCACTTCAGAAACAGTATTTTCAGAATTGCCTCCAAAAGATGAATAAGAAATATTAAATATATTAAACTGGACTCCCTGCATGTATCAAATACAGTGCCCTGCTTTTGTTTTTTCATTTATTGTATATAATAGTATCTAATTGCATCTATTAATTATGCAAACCTCCCAAAACCTTGCACATAATAACTCCTGTTTGTGTGAAGAGAAGTTACTCATATCCTGCAGTAGAAAAAGCCTCCTACTTACGTTTTGCTGCAGGTTTTTCCTCAAAACCTCAAGATTATTTATTCTTCTTTAACATAAAACCAAGAAAATCACCATTTAGCTTTCATTCTGATCTGGCCTTTGACTTGGAGTACAGCAGTGTAAAAGTGGTGTGATAGAACAGGAATAAGTAAAAAATAACATTTAGCAACACAAAACCAGCTTCTTATGAGGTTTTCCTGCCCATTTGGGGAAGCATATCACTGCACAATTACATCTACTAATGACAATAAGTGATGATTTTCAATCTGTTCTCAATAAAAAATAGACTTCAGCTGAACGACTAAAATAAATTGACATATGAAAATATATTTGTACATAATTAAAGACATATGTATTATTTGTCCATTAAGTTTGCTGAAATCTCTCATCACTTTTCTCTACCTTTATTCTGGAATTCTGTGATTTCCTGAAGAGTTGGCAATCACAAGTTTTGAATTTTATTGAGTGGGCAATTTCTTCTCAGTTTTAATTCTCTCTTGATTAAATCTTTCTGGCAGTTAGATCTTCTGGAGGATGGAAACGAATTTCAAAGACAGATGTCCCTTTTCTTTCATTCCCCATGAAACTCTTCCATATGGACAATCAGAATCCTGGCCACCATTTATGTCACCAGATTTTATGAAGCAAGGGCAGAGTGATATTTAAGTAGTGCCCAGAGTCATCTCTGTCTCCTTCCAAGGGAATAATTTCACTTATAAATCTTTATTCATCTCGTTCCATTGATAAATTAGTACTGAGTATGAATTATTTTAATACAAGGAACAGGTAATACTGCTGACTGAGGAGTTTTCAGCATATTTGGACTGGAATTACAGTGGTCTTCCCCAAGTAGGATGCAAAATACATAGCAAGTTTAAGAAGCCTCTTACATTATCTCTCAAATTCTCCTTGGCTTAATATAAAAATCTATTTGAGTGATTTGAAAGATCCAGCCTCCTACTTCTTATTTGTACTAACATCATCATCCACCATGTTTAGGAAATTATTATTTTGCAAGGGCATATTTCCAATGGATTAAAAATTGTTTTCTGGATGGGATAATAAAGTTTAATAAGGAGGAAAAAGGTAGGTTTTTTTGGTTTTTTTTAATCAGAACCTGTCTTGATTATTGTTTTGAATTCAAACTGCAAGATATCCTTTAATTTAGTGATGCTGGATCAAGCCTGTGACAAGTCTTTATATAAACCGTGCTGACTCCCTAAACAAAACACTATCTGAGTCATGTGCTCACACATATCTGGGAGATCAATTGTGGAAATGGATTTTTCTGCCCAAGTCTTCTCACTGTCTGCCTGGGAGTTCTGCAACTGATAGTAAAGTGAGAAAGTGATTTAAGGTTGCTCAAAGGCTGCCTTTCCTTTATAACTCGGTTTTGGCTTTTTGCTGAGAGACACTTTTTGATAAGCTTTGCTTGTTTATTTCCTGCTGACATCAGACGATAACCCAAAGTTTATTAAATTATTAAATGCATGGCATGACAGCTTTCTATACCTCCTCTTCGTAGGGGTTGAACTCTGAGTGAAGAGAAATGGCCATCAACTTGAAAAATACACTGCTTCTTTTGTCCCACAAAATGCAGGTCACTGCTGTGCCTATGAGTGATGCTTCCATGCTCCAATATCGGGAAGTGACTGAAATGTTGAGCAAAAAAAAAAACCATCAAACCACGGCTTTCATGTCTTAGGTGTCCAGTCCTTGGATCTGCTGCAAATATTCCCCACAAAAAGAAGCACTTGACTTCATCAGCCCCCAGCTAATATTGTCCAGATCAGACAAAGTGTGTTCTTGACCAAAAAAAAAACCCCACGCCCATATAAATTATTGTTAAAAATCAGCAGTTTGTGGTAAGGACCCAAGAGCAAGGTTTCACCCTTGGAAGCTGTAAGCAACTAGTAATTAGATTTCCAGGCCTTGCTGTGACTCTTTACGGGTTTTTCAATCTCAAGGAGTGTAACTAACCCGTAAATGATCTGCTGCGGCCTCGGGAAGCAAACTGAACCGACGTGTAGGGGATTTAGAGAATTTCCATAAATACATTTGAAAACAAAATTGACGGGTGTTTTCAAACAGGCCTGTAGTGAGAAAAAAAAAATATATATATATAAAATTTTGAGGGCCTGTGCAATCTCTGCAGCTGATATCTTCTCCATATGTGCCTGAACTACTCCAGCCAAGGAGCTCTCGGAGAGCTCGAGCTGCTCTGACGGAATCTCACAATGTGCCTCTGGACTGGGATGGAGAGAGCACAGCTAAAATTCCTGGCTAGGAAATACATCACTTATAAACAATCCTGCTCCAGGAAAAAAGTCGTGGAAAGCACTGAAACCAGTCACATGGCAATGCAAGATGTCAGCAAATGTCTTTCTTTTTTATCCAAAAAAAAGCTGAAAGTCAGCATGATTGAATGTCTCATGCCTGCTTCCTTATCAGGAGTATTTTTTCTGGCTATTTATCTGAAAAAGTACCATATAAAATTAGGAAAAAAAAAAGGGGGGAAAGAAAAAGAAAAAACAAGCCTACTCTCACTGTACTAAATTGCTAAATCAACTGCAAACTCAGCGTTCACTGCAGTCCCAAGCCAAGATCTTGTAGAATCTGATTATTAAAAGATACCTCTGCCCAAATTAAGGTGCAAATGAAACCATAGGCCAAAGTAAATTATAAGTAAATTATATGGATTTTATTTAACAGCAAATGTGAGGTAGAGAGAAGCAGGGCGGGGAGAGAGAGATGGATTAAATAGAAAGAGTGACCACCATGTGGGTTTCTGCAGCATCCCTGCAGTGGCCCTGAGATTTCTTTATCATTTTCACTTGATTTCTCTTCATAAAGTTCTCAGACATGTTTAGAATTTACAGCTCTAAATGGAACATATTTTTGAAGATTCCATTTTTTTACTGTGAACTGAAAAATCTACTTAAAACCCCATAGAAAATTTAATAAGAAAGTGGTAAAAGTCTGGAGCAAGAGCGAGCTTGGTTAGCATCAGATAATTTTAATCCACTGTTCCAGTGTCATTATGAAATTAGATTTCTTGTTCTCCCAACTGAAAAACACCCTCTGAACAAAAACAATGAGGTATTTCACAGGATGATTCAGATGAAGAGTATCTCAGAACAGTTAGGATATTCAAAGCTAAAGCATGTAGCATTATATATTCCACTTTTCACGTTTCATCATTCCAGAATGCAGCCTGTGCCTCTCTGTGCATGCTCACAGTATTAGGCACCACAAACATCCAAAGCTGGAAAAGGGCAAAAAGAACTCAGAATTAAGTCTGTAAGAACTGAACCAAAGACGACAGCAGCTGTTATTTGGTCGTTTGTGTTAGTTAAGTTGTATAAGTAGCAGATCATTTTCCACCCTAATACAATTATGTACTTGCAGAAGTTATTGTTGTTGCTTTTAATTGCCTGAGGATGGTTTAATGCTATTAGCAGGATATCTTCAGTCTTTAAAAACGAAATTAAGGTTGTGAAATGCTGCGTGATTGTGGGAGTGAATATATTGTTTTCCACTACTGGAATTCACAGAAAATAGTTCAACAGTGAATTTTGCTATATTATAATTAAATTTTCAGTGGAAAAATGCAGGCATGCCAATGGAAGTGTCTTAATTGTCATCAGACAGTCATGTGACTCTAAAAGCTTCTTAGAGCCATAAAATACTCTGATATTTAGGACCTTTTCAAATTTCCATGATAGAGCTCAGATTGAGCATTATAATTTTGTGAATTGCTTAAAATGATATTTTAATCATCATAAATATTTCAGAGTACTCCAAGAGAAAATCATAATCACTTGTTCTCATTTAAAGGTGATTTAATATGTAAGTTCAATAAAGCTATCACCACTGGAAAGCCTTTTCATTATTTTTAATTCAGTATACAGGTTAAAAACAGCATTGGTAGTGGAGACATCACTGAGCTGCCTGTTCTTAATGCAACAGGTTGCTTCTTTGAATTACAGTTTCGAAGGTCATGACTGAACAGAACTATTTTAACACAAGTTCCTAGCAAAATCTGCCTGTCTCCTTCTCTCAGCTGCCAGGCTCCACATATTGCTCATATCCACCAGGTCAAGCAGGTCAGGTATTTTATAGTTCTTTTCTAAAATTTCTTAAATCAGCCCAGCTTCTTCAACAAATCAGCTGAAAGGGGTCATGTCTTTAAAGCTACTGTAGTATCATAATGAGATGGAAAAAGGTCAGTTTCCTTGGCCATCAAAGTCTCAAAAAAAGTTTACAGTGACAATTCAGACTACAAACTGAACAAGTTTCTTACACAAGAAAGGAAAATCTTTTGGGAAAAGTGAACAGGGCATTTTCAAACACACAATGTGCCCTTATGAGATGCTTAATGAAGTGTAGTTTTGAATACTATAAATTTTCCAAGTCATGGATGGAACTGAAAAACTGTTCAGTTCAAGCCTTTACAGGCAGAGGGGAGAGAGGAACAATTTTACTAATTAATACCTTCTTTCCAGTTTCAGTTGATAATTATAGTGAGCTTGTAGAGTTCAAGAAAATCAAAGGCCTCTGCAATCAGTCCAGACAAATATTTTTCTTGGTGTGCTCTATCACTTGGACAATCTGCTTGTAGTTCACCTATTACTTTCAGTTACTACAAGATTTATATATATTATTTTCTAAATTCCATTTGTATATTTTGATTGTAAACTGCTTCCTACATAAAGATCACCAATATCTTGCCAACCATGATTTCAATTTCATGAGCTGTTTCTTAAACAAAAACAAAAAAAACCCCAAAAAAACAAACAAACCCTCAAAAAAACCCCAAAACTGCCCATTTCATTGAATCACAGAATGATTTGGTGTTGGAAGGGACCTTAAAGACCATTCAGTTCCAATCTCCTGCCATGGGCAGGGGCCCCTTCCACTATCCAGGTTGCTCCAAGCCCCTTCCAACCCAGCCTGGGACACTTCCAGTCCAGTAGGTGTTCAGAAATCCATGTGCCATGAATTTATGGCCACATACCCTGGTCAGGTATTGCTCATCAGTCATCCCCAAAGGTCAAAGTGATGGCACATGGCTGAGGAAACAGCAGGAGTTGCTCAACTGCAGGACCTGTTCAGGGGATAAACAGAGAATTTTGCCCTCACAGCCTTGAAGTTTGGATCTTCTCACATCCAGACATTTGGTCAGATGTGGTAGCCTGTGTGAACATTTGAATTTTTACCGTGTCTAGCCAACCATTTCTAGCCAACCCCATTATCTCACATAGAGATCAGGGTGAGTTTAAAAGCACTCCCATGACCCACCCACAGTACACTCTCCAGTGCTATCCCAATGCTGAGTGTACCTCTAACTTGGCTTCTGATTTAGATTAAATCAGAAGTAAACAGGCTTACAGTTTAACCTATTTCTATCCTAAGGATGCAGGGAACTTGACTGCCTTAGGGAATTAAACTGTGTGGAGCTCCACCAAGAGACACCTCTGAGGTCTGGGAGTGAAGCCACCACTGTAACACCTGCACTGAACCTAGACCTGCAAGGACTTTCTTGTCTTTCCCTGTCCTTCTCCCAGGATCTGGTCCTTGGAACTTCACCTGGGCTCCAGTCCCATGCCCTGGGGTTGCAGAGGAGAAAGTCCCTCTGCAGTCCCTCTGCCCTTGCAGAGCAAGGGACATAATCCTGACTCTCCTAAACCCCAGGCTGTTGTTCCTCCTACTCGTAGCTGTCCGAGGCAGTTGAGAAATCTACTGATCTGCTGCTAATCTCCAAAGAACCTCTTCCAAACCACACGATCCTGGCTCTGACTTCACAAAAATCTCCCAGTCCAACAAAAGGGAGGCTTCTCCAAGCAGTTACAGTCACAAATTGTGGTTTCTCGTAGGTGGAGGCACCGTCAAAGGCTTGTCTGGGCCTGGTGCCTTCCTGGCCTTCCCAACACCCAGGAGAAGCACTTTGGGAAAGGGAGAGCACCCGGCACCAGTGATGTCACTGCACTGGCTGAGGGGGACACACACAGCACAAAACCTTTCACAGGGTGTGAGGGGTTCTCCCTGCAGCTTTTTATTCTTTTGGGTCAAATGTGGCAGCTACGAGGCCTCTCCCTCCTTGCAGCGGCAAAACATTGGAGGTCACACACACAGATCCTTGGGCAGAAAGGGAATTTATCTCCAGTCCCATTCAAAACAAATCATCAGTATTCCAAATAATCAGTATTCCAGGCTGCAGGGACTCTCTCCAAGAGCCTTGCTTTGTTACACCTCCCTGCCCTGCTCAAAGGTCACAGGAGGAAGTCTGTGAAGGAACTGGAATACAAAACCAGGCCTCTTAAACACCAAATTTACTACGATTCTATAATTAATTTATCCTGTGCAACAATAACACTATGCATCTTATTTTATTGTTTGGAAGCAGGGCCTTCTGGTTTTTATATCCCATCATGGGCATCAGTTCCATAAATACTTTCTGCATGTGACTGATCCTACGCAGGATCAGACTGAAGTCAGACTGATAAAACACATGGCTTCAAGATCGAGGCCTAGATTTGTTTTCAGTCATTCTTACAAGAAGTTATTTGTTTTCTGAACCCCTAAGCCAGAAGGTTTTTAGGAGGGAACCTAAAGGTGTGTCAAAACCTGGGCAGGGCAGATACTTGCCCTGTCTTCTTTTCAGTGTTCCAACATGCTCTGTTAAAGCAACAGCTTGTTGCCCCCTCAGAAAATGAGAGAAAATATCAGAAATACGAATGTATGGATTAGTGGTACCCCCAATGAAAAATATGTAAATTCCTTTTTACATCCTTTACTAAAGTAATACCACTCTTTTTTTAGCTGTTATCATTTGTTCCACTTGCTTGGAAGGAAAACTGTCCTAGGAGGGAAAATGACCTGCAATCCCCTCAACAGAGTGAGCAACACCAGGAGCAACTGGTAGGGTTTCATCATAGCAACAAAGAGTAAGTGTAGCTACAAAACTGGACCTGACCCAGCTCCTGAGAGCTGCCATCTCTCCATCCACAGTCCTGCACTGCCACCTGCAGCTGCTTGACAGTATTTGGATTTCTCCATGAGCAGGCTCACATCGACATTGGCAGCAGCATCCTCCCTGTAAACATTAGGAGTGCTCAGTGCCAGGCAGACTTTTTTTCCACTAATATTATCATGCTAAAATAACCAAAATATTCCTCTTTTCCAAGACTGTGTTTGTTCTTTCTCCAGCCTTTTTTTTTTTTTTAGCTTTCTGCTTTATCTCAATACTCCACTGCCTTTGCCAACTGAAATTGAATGTCATATACTAAATGAAACATATTTATTAACCCAGAAGATTTGTAATACACTGGGAAATAAGACCCTTTTATAAGTTGCGCATGATGTCTTAACTACAAGTGGAAATTGTTTTAAATTTGTTTAACTATAGCTACAGCATTAAAATTGGGGTTTAATTTCATATATCCCCTAACATCTATCACCAGAGAAATATAAATGGGGTTTGGTCTGAAATAAAGAACGAAACTGAAAAGATCCACAACACCAAGAAATTTATTCAGAGTGATTGTCATTATTCTGAAAGATTTCTGTCTCATTAGCAGCACGTGGGCCAGGTCCTGCCTTCAGCCATCCTCCTACAGCCCTGTGATGCAGAGGGGGGATGGCTTTACCTTAAGGGACAAAGGCTTCTCCCAGTTCATGGTCAAGTCACAGTGCCTAGAAACAGACCCAGGAGTCTCTTAGGAGGCAGGGGTTGGGCCAGAGGCAGATCTTACACAGGCACATGGCCAGGAAAATGTCACATGGAGGAAATCAGCAAGAATAATTTCAAAATTGGGATCTAGCCCCATGGTTGATGAGGTTGGGCACCCTGAACTGAGCACGTTCTATTCCCCAGATACCCATGACACACACAGAGAAAAAAAAAACAAAACAAACTAGTCTGGTTTGGATGGGACCTTAGAGATAATTTAGTTACAACCCTCTGTCATGGCAGGGACACCTTCCACTATCCAAGGTTTCTCCAAGCCCTGTCCAGCCTGGCCTTGGGCATTTCCAGGGATCCAGGGGCAGCCACAGCTGCTCTGGGCACCCTGTGCCAGGGCCTCCCCACCCTCACAGGGAACAATTTCTTCCATATTCAACTTAAACCTACTCCCTTTAAGTTTAGAGCCATTCCCCCTTGTCCTGTCCCTTCAGGCCCTTGTCCCAAGTCCCTCTCCAGAACTCCTGGAGCCCCTTTAGGCCCTGGAAGGGGTTCTGGGCTCTCCCTGGAACCTTCTCCAGGATGAACAGCCCCAACTCCCTCAGCTGGCCTTCATTGGAGAGATGCTCCTGCCCTCTGATCATCTTTAGGGCCTCCCCTGGACTCGCTCCATTTAATTGCCAGAGCAAGGGTCTGAGGGAATGCATGTGGAAATTTAAACTGTAGCACAGGGATCAGTCAAACAGAGAAGCATGGAGAGAAAGTGACCTGTGTCTTGTTTAATACCTAAAGTGCTTTCTGCACAAAGTGGTTCGAGGAAATGGTTTGTAAGAGTACAACTAATCCCACCTGCCAGTGTGTGTCCTTGCAAGTGTTAGCACAGAAAAACCAGAGCCAGAACATAAAGATCAAGGACACTTCAGTATTAAAAACTATTTTTAACAAGAGGTAAATTACATTCCCTGACATCGTTTTTTATCTTAAAGATTTTGCCCTACGTGAAAGAGTGAAAAAGTCACTGAAAAGAAAAAGAAGATTTATGGCTATATGGCAGGACAAATTGTAGTGGTATATGAAGAGATTGTGTTACCAGAGGTATTAGAGTTTAAAATACCGCATGAACCTGGACAGGTCTCTGCTTGAAATTTCATGTAGCCAGACTGACATCTTGTGGTTTGTGCAGGACATCTGAATGTGCATCTGAGGGGAATTAACTTGAACTTCATTAGAGCATTGTGAAGTTACACACTTCATTCAGCAGAACAGTGTGTGACTGTTTTCACTCACTGTATCACTGGCTGCAGCCAGGAAATTTGGAGTTGTAGAAACACAGAATACCCTGAGTTGGAAGGGACCATCAAGGATCACTGAGTCCTGGCCCTGCACAGACACCCCAAGAGTCACACCCTGTGCCTGAGAGCACTGAATGTCTCCTGCACCTGCAGTGTGAATTCTTACAGAAACAGAGAAAAACTGGGGCTCCTCTTACGAGCAGGTCACAGTTGCTAATGCCATAAATGCTGTGCATGCTTCCAAAGAACAATTCAAAGCAAGAGCACACCTAAAGCTGGGAAGTATTCAAAGTCATCATGTCTCCCTCTCTCCGTGGAGGATGAAGAAGGAATGAGACCTATCTCCTAACCTAGAACACTTAGGCTGACCCAGAATTAGAGCCAAATGTCCCAAAACTCCCTTGTAAGACCTTGCAATGCTGATGCCTGGGCAAATGTTCCTGCTCAGGCTTCCCACACCCAGGCGCTGGGAGCTCAGTGTGGGTGTAGTCCCCCGAGGACAAGTGGCACAAGCAGAACACTCTGCCAATAAAAGCTGGATTTCTTTCCTGCTTATTTTTAACATGAGAGAATAGAAAGGGAGGAATTAAGGTCACCATGCTAAGAGAGGTGTTTCTGAGGGCAGGCTGGAGCCACATGCCCAAGCACATCAAATTACTCCGGCTGAAGTTACAGGGAATCAGCAGCTCAAGCTGGCCTGGAGCAATAAACTCAGCCAAGAGTCTCCCACACAGCTCCACTCCTGCACCTCCAACACAGCCTGGATGAAATGTCCTTGCTGTCCCAGATGGGATCTGCTCTTCATCAACACCTGACATTCACACCAAATTGTAGTTTCATGTCTATCCCTAAGCAAATAAAGCTTGCTGATAAAAGTGGACTGGGAGCTATTTGGTTACCAGTTACTAAGTCACCCATAGGGAGGACTTGGTGTTCCCATCTCTGATCCCCAGGTTGTTCCCATCCTTCCCAACTCTGCTTTCAAGTCATTTCTCAGCTTCTTTGCATTTTGAACAAGCTGTGCCTATAAAACGTCCAGTCCTCTCACAGGAACGGCAAAGGAGGGGAAACATGTCTCTCAGCATATTCCCTATTTTTTCTCACAAGATAATTCAAAAGGGGGAAAATATTTAATAGCAGAATATTTAAAGCAGAGCTGGAGGGCTGTGTGAGTGAGGGGGTACCATGCCTGCATGAGTTCTCCCAGCTCTGCCTTCTGCTCCCAAAGCACTTCTTTTCCCACAGCCATGAATAAAAGACTACAGTAGCTCATTCAATTTCTTATATCCCACTTGTCTTTATAACAAGTCCTTAAGACACAAGTATTATCTAGACTCAGAGATTCACCTATCACTATTGTGAGGTAGTGGGCAGTGTTTGGAGATCTCTGAACTTTCTTAAATCCACAGCAGCCACCACAGCCACAGCTGGCAGCACTGGCACTGCTAAAGCCAAGACAAGGTCATGGTCACAGCTCACAGCACTTCATACCAGGGCTTGAAGCTGCAAAAGTCAGTTTTAAACAGGATAAATAGTCCTGGAAGCATTACCAAAGCTGCTGGGAATTACAGATGCAAGCACAGCAAGGTTTTCATGGTGACACAACACCTTACATTAGACCCACTGACAAAACTGGAATAAACAGGCACAAAGCTGAAACCCTTCTCACCCAAAGGGGTTTGCGTGTCCTAAATCTTGTCTGATTTCTCTGATGTGTAGGAACCAGCCCAACAGAGGATCATGTTTCTCCCTAGAATCCTTCCCTCGGTCAGGAGAGACCATCACAACCAAGGGATAACTGCTGGTGGCACCAACACAGCTCAAGGCCTGCCCCAAGTCTGAAGAACCAGACAAGCCAGCAGCCACGTATTTGCAGCACTTTTTCAGAAAAATGACTACAAATAAGGCCTCTGTCCCTCTTCTTTGTGCCTTGTTTTCAGTTACTGTGTCAGGGAACAGAACCTCCCACCACAGGCACCATCTTACCTCATTAGGGGAGTGTGTGGTAAA